AAATTACAAACATTAAGATAAGAATTTTTTCTTTTTAATAAAAATTCAGCCAACAGACAAATATATTGCATAATTTAAATAGTTATAAACTACTAACTTAATATAGATTGTACATAGAAATTATAAAACATCTAATAAAATGGAACAAAAAAATTTAAAAATATTTTATATATTGGAACAGAAAAAAACAATTCTTTTAGAGTCAGGATATTGGCGGAAAATTAATGTAACAAAAAACAAAAAAATTGGGGGAAAGAGGAAGGAAAGGGTAGAGTAACGTTAATTGATTAAACAAGACACGACTCCACTTGTCTTGTGTTGAAACCGCGTCGGTCCAAATTGTCTGAAACTGTCTTTGAGATGCCTACGGATCCAAGTGTCTCCTTTTTCTGTTGACTTAGACTTTTTTACATTTTGGTATTCTTGTTTTTAGACCATGTTGACATAATTTTTTACTATTAATTATCGAAAGATTGCTACAATGATTTTATGAGCCAATCTTGCGGTGACGAAAAACAGGAGTACCTACGGAGAATTACTTGAGTACCTTTTTTCAAGTATCCATAACAAATTAGGCTAGAAAATTACTTAATTGGTGGTGTCGTATCTCACATCTGAATTCAGTCCAAACAAAACCCATTCTTATCAAACTGATTAGATATATCTAGAAGCTTCTTCATTCTTGTGTCGAAGTAAAACTTTTCTTAATCTGTCTAGAAATCCATTGTTTTGTGGGTCAAGATTATGGACATTTAAGGCCCATTAACAAATGAAAATTGGGGGAAAATTGATCAATTTATAAAGTAAGATGTCAAAAGTAGAATTTACGAAGAAATTGGGGACGAAAAAAGGGAAAGAAGAATGGACTTGGGAATCAAGCAAGGGTCAAAGCGTCAAAGCGAGCTAAAGCCGAGAGCAGCGGTGTCAAAACCTCATCCGCCGCAAAACCCCTAAAACCCTCCGGCGCCGGGAATTATCTCTTTCTTATATCCCTTTCCTTTCGCTGTCTCTATCGAGATTCAATCACCGAACCGATTGAATCTTACGCAATGATGGGCGAAGAAGCAGCTCCGATGGGACCTCCCAACAGAGAACTCTACGCGCTTCTGAATTTGTCACCGGAAGCCTCCGACGAAGAAATCAGAAAAGCTTATCGTCAATGGGCTCAAGTTTATCACCCTGACAAGATCCAATCTCCTCAGGTTTGCTCCAATCGAATCAATTCGTTTCTGTTCTTCGTGATATCAAATTTGGATACTTTACATAAAGGAAGTAGCTTTATTTAGTGGGCTGATTTCGAATTTGTGTGGTTAGATGAAGGAAGTGGCTACGGAGAATTTCCAACGAATATGTGAAGCATATGAGATACTGTCGGATGAGACTAAGAGGCTAATATATGACTTATATGGCATGGAAGGCTTGACTTCAGGATTAGAGCTTGGTCCTAGGCTGAGTAAGCCCGATGAGATCAAAGAGGAGCTTGAAAGGATTAAGAGGAGAAATGAAGAAGCTAAGAAGATGGCACATTTTCAACCCACTGGTTCTATTCTCTTCAATTTGTCTGTCCCAGATTTTTTAGGCGGCGATGGCATCATGAGAGGGTAATTCTTTTGTTCTTCTTCTCAAGTTTTGATGTCTTTTTGGTAGCATGGTTCTTGATTTGGGTTCCTAATTTGACCTTGGAGACTTTGACTAGCCTGGGAAATTTTTAGATAGGAAATGGTTATTGAGAAAAGATTTGGTCTTGTTTCTGTTTTCTTCTTGTGTAGTTTGTGTGTAACCATTATCTTGTGTGAGAATTTTGGTTGCTCAACACTAGCCTTGAGTACTTTGTTTCATTTGAAGTAGTTTTTGTTTTTTGATGCTTTTTCTTTTCTTTTGTGCTTGTATCTGCAAAACTGTCAGAATGGTTATGGCTAGTCAAGTGCAGTCTCAGTTGTCAAAAGATGATGCAATTGCCATTGGTGGAAATTTGGCGGCCAATGAAAAGTCTGGTGGTGGAATTGCTACTGCCATTCTGAGACGACAGATTTCTCCAGTGTCATCTATAGAGTTTGTCGCTTCAGCGGGGTTGCAGTCGCTTATTGGAATGCAGACAACACGGTAGGCTCATGAGATTTCTGGTTAATTTTTTTTCTGGGCATCTTTTATGGTGTCAGTTTATATGACTCTTATGGGTTTCTTGTTGGGGCAGTCAGTTAACCATACATTCAACTGCCACAATCAATATTTCCAAGTCTTTGAGTGATGGTTCCATCAATCTTACCAACACGTGGACTCGACAGCTTTCAGAAACTTCAAGCGGAAATGTATGTTCTCTCTGTTGTTTTGATTCAACCTTCTAAGATGGCAAGAAAGCAGTTTTCTCGATTTTAAAATAGTTCATTTCATCCAGATTGAACTGGCACTGGGTCTGCGGTCAGCAATTACAGTTGGATGGAAAAAGAGAGACGAGAATGTATCTGCTGCTGGTGACTTTAAGGTACGCTGACTACCAAATTACATTCCGACTGTTCCGCCTCAACCATCTCTCTTACTTTCTCTAGCTATAATCTTGCTATTACTAGATTGAATCGGGTGCACTCGGAGCATCAGCTCGTTATACTCGTAAACTTTCATCCAAATCTCACGGTCGTATTGTAGGTAGAATTGGAAGGTATGTTTTATTGACAATCCTGAGCAACCTAATGTATGATGTGCGAGAGGATAGAAATCATTTTTAAGTTGTCTTTACATGTGTGGCGCAATTATTGTTCTCATTTTACTTTGGATATATTTTTGTTTAACTTATTCAGCAATGCTCTTGAGATTGAGGTCGGTGGTGGAAGGAAGATTTCTGAGTTCAGTACCGTAAGAATGATGTATACAATTGGAATCAAGGTAAACTATTCTTTTAAACTTTAAGAGCCATCTTATTCTTAGCTACAGTTAAACCTCTATAAATTAATAAATATTATTTATAGTGTAAATTAATATTTATTAATTTATAGAAAGTTTTGTTTTCATTGTTGATTTTTTTTTTAAAAAAATGAGGAAAACAATGTGATCGAAATAAAATTAATGTTTTGGATGTTAAAATTTTTATAGTTTTAGACTTAAACATTTAATATTTCGAAGAGAAAATAATTTTTTTTACAATGAATAACAAAGATTATATAGAGTTTACATATATAAACGATATACATAAATTAAAATTTATAAATAGTGACATCTATAGTTGTATTTGAAAAACCTACGATTATTAAAACAAAAATGATGCATATTCTAAAATTTGAAAACTTAAAGTAAATTTTGGCTATTTTTATGAAAACCCCTTATATATATATATAAAAATTTACATGATTATTAATTTATGATATTATTAGGACCATATTTTTATATAGGGATTTCAAAAAAATTATTATCTTATTATCTTATTATCTTATCGAATTTAGTTAATTTTTACATTGGTCCGACTCGGGACCGGCAAAATTTATTAATTTATCGTGTTTATTAAGTTATCGAGTATTAATTTATAGAGGTTCTACTGTATTATGCAATCTGCTTATTTCGGGTACTCTTATACTTTTTGTAGGGTATTTTTTGGAAACTAGAGCTACACCGTGGTAGCCAAAAGCTGATTGTTCCCGTGAGTGTTAATTTCTTCCTTTCTTTTCTTGTCGTGTCATCTCTGCTGTTATTTGGATAAGAACAGAACAGATTGTGTTGTAATCTCTGGAGTATAATATATTAAAAAATTACAAACCAACAGAACCAAAGAACAATCCTAAAAGCCTAGGGATGGATTCTAGAGCACCATCAATTATGGACAAAAACCGACATCCGTGTTACTCTGAGGAAGTCTTTCACTTTTGACACCTTCGTGATGATTATCTTTAAAACATGCAGATTCTGCTCTCCTCACATATAGCTCCAGTATTTGCAACTGGAGCATTCATTGTTCCAACATCTCTTTACTTTTTGTTAAAGGTGAGTGATTGGACCCTCTAAATATTATCTACGCTCTATTTTTATAAGCTGTTTGCCCGATTAAACATTTTCACTGTTCCATGCAGAAATTTGTGGTGAAGCCATATTTGCGTAAAAGAGAAAAACAAAAGGCCTTGGAGAATATAGAGAAAACTTGGGGCCAGGTGATGGTTACTTACGAGTTTTGGTAGCCAAAGCTAGATTCCTTGTGATTTTATGGTAGACGATCTTATTATGAATATTTGTTTAAATTGTGGGTTTTAGGTTGGGGAAGCAAGGGCAAGGGCCGAGAAAGCCCAGCAATTGCTACAAACCGTAGCCACAAGGAAGAGAAACCGGCAAGTTGAAACAGATGGGCTCATAGTAACGAAAGCGTTGTATGGTGACCCAAAAGCGATAGAGAGAAGAGACGAAGGAGTGGAAGGAGTGGATTCGGGAGTCATTGACGTTACAGTGCCGATGAACTTCCTTGTGAGTGACTCAGGGCAGCTCAAGCTCCATGAGGGAGTGAAGAAATCAGGGATCATGGGCTTTTGCGATCCTTGTCCCGGCCAACCTAAGCAGTTATACATTGCCTATACTTACCATTCTCAAACGTTTGAGGTAACAGTTGGTGATTATGAAGAGCTGAGTATACCACAAGAAGGCCAGTGAGAGTATGAAAACGTTACTCTCCACTTTGTTGTTTTTAATTAATACGAACGAATGGGTTCCTTTGGGCATTTGTAACACTTACCTAGCCTCATGTTTTACATTCATTTCTTTCTCAATAAATTAAGCATTCTTGTTTGCCATAAATTTTGGGTAATCGTGTGGTTATTAGATATCGATTTTGTTTTTGTTCAATGATATATGAAGTACTTTCATCTATTACGCAGATTCACGCGAGAACTATTTTCATGAGCAATATGCATCTCACCATCCATTACTCAGAACATATCGCATTTGGTGGAGAAAAAAACAAGAATATATGCAAGACAATAATTTTAAAGAAAGACAATAATTTTAAAGAAAGACAATTTTATGTTATGTACCACAAAAAAATCAATCTGGATATATAAATTACTTTGTACAACTATTAACTAGAGTAATGCGTTTTGTACTAGTAAGTGAGACTCGAATTTTATAATGTACGTGGACGTAAACAAAGACAGAAAATGGAACGAAGGAATAGATTTAGAGGTCGCAAAAGGCGTTTGGCATTTTGAGAAGGAGTTTGAGAGACAACATCCTTGACTTGTTGTTGATGAGAAGAAACCAAACGTGGCTTAAAGTCACCTCGTGCCATGACCAGCTTCTTCTTCAAATCAACCACGTACTCTTCGATTCCTGCCAAATCTTTTTTCTTTGGTCAATAAATTTGATTCTTGAAAATCAATGATGACAGATAGGATTAAACAAAAAGATCGTGGATGGTTCTTACTTCTAAGAGCGAATAAGGAAGATAGTAAACGGTTGGTAGCAGCCACAAAATTAGAATTAAGCATAATTAATTTAAGTAGCAAGTTGCTTAATAAATAAATAACTTGTGGGTTTAATCAAATAATCATTGTTTAGTTTGATAAAACACAAAACATCTTTGGTGATAACGTAGAGAGCTCACCGGTCATCTTGGAGACAATCCTTGAGACTCTGTCTTGACAACAAACACATCCCACATCTGCGTTTATCTCTATCACTTGAAACTGATTTTGGTCTCCCAAGTTAATACTTTGCTCAACATATATACTTCATCAAATTCTATATAATTGTTGTTTTAGTACTTTACGTATACTCCAATTATAGAAAAAAACAAATTGATGATCGAAAAACAACGATGGTTTCACTCAAGACAACTTACAGAGACTCACGGAACCAAATATTTCCCTTTATCATCTTTCAAATTAGAAAGAAAATAAAACAAAAGAACTTCGAAAATGGAAAAGGAGAGAAGAAAATGTAAGATACATGAAATGATTGATATATATATAACTACAAAGAAAGATAGAAGAGAAGTATGAGTATGGATGTATAACGTACCGACGGAAGTGAGAGTTTCTCGCAGATCATGAGTGTGCGCCGCCGCATCATTGGCTCCTTCATTGCCGTGTGACGGCAGAGCCAAGCCGGCGGGTTTGATATAAATGTATGTATAAATATAGTTTACGTATCTATAGAGGTTTGTTTATTTAAAATTTTTGTGTTTAGGGAGGCTTTGACAAATTATAGGGAATGTATGTTTTGTATGTATGCGGAAAGAGATTCAATTTGTTTATTGACAAGTCCCATCTTTACACGTTTCACCCACAATCTTTATATGACATGCATTAAACTAATATTTAAAGTTTACTAGCAAGTAGGAATTAATAACAATTTGCTTACATAACAAACATTCACATCGAGGTAAATTTACTATATCTTTTAAATTTTAAATAATTTACGAAAGAAAATTGAAGTACAAAAGAAATACTATCTTGTAAATTATTTACAGAAGAAAGTTGACAAACTACTACAAACATAAAACATTCACATCGAGGTAAAACGACTTTGTTGTAACATTTAAATGTTAAATAATTTACGGAAGAAAATTGAGATTCAAAAAAAGAAAGACGCAAATGAAGAGATGGACTGAGTCAAATGATGCATATTGTTTTGGAACTTTAGAATATAATCGAGTTGAAGGATAATGATATTAATTGGTTAAGAAAAGAGACAAGGTCAAAAACATGTTAAAGCCACCATTGAACTGACCATGCGTGTTGCATTTGATCCTTAACTCTTTGCCTTTTTGGTATACCATTACTTCACACTATCATCCATTGATCTATGAATGTAAAACCTCCAGATGAACAAGTAGTTTCCACTTACATATGGTATAATGAGAGTTTGTAGTGAACAAAGCAAGTGTGGAGGTACAAGGTCTATAGAAGAAATTTGGGAGTTTAGCAAAGTATTACTACTGTGATCCAATGAGGCCACGGGAAATCGTTAACTAGAACCAGACCACGAAATCAAAATCCGCAGAATATCTGAACAAAATTCCTCCTCTAATTCACCATGACCACTGGAAACCGTTATCTATAACCGGACATGGAAATCAAAAGCCATGAATCTCTGAGCAAAAGAAGAAGAAAAGAGTAGGGTCTTCAAATACCAAAAAGGCAACAAGATGTTGGCTGCGTTATGGTTATTATTACATCTTGACAAAAGAAAGAAAAGAGTATACACAGTGATGTGTTTAGTTTGAATCTAGTATCAGTAATCATACAAGAATGCAAGTTATAAACCAGCAGCCACCACTGAGGACTTCCATAACCTTGTCAAATTATCTAACTTGCTAGTGAAATCAAATCTCTGCACAAATGGCAGAACCAATACTAACTAATATGTTGAGAAAGCCTTGCAACACCACCTCCATTGTTCTCTCTCCATCACCTTCACATTTGAAACCTTCAATACAATCACACAATGAAACTGATTGAGACACAACATTTGTTAAAAAAACCAAGCTCTTACTACATTTCTAATCTTGAGTCTACAACGAGATTCATAATTTAAGTTTCTGATCTCACTCTAATTCAAAGTGAATCAATAAGAAGCCATCAAATCTCAAACTTTCAATAAGCAAAAGGATTGATATTTCTTCGATTCCAAAACCAAAAAGACAAGAGAAACCCTAACAAGTCCAAAAATTAGAAGAAAAACGAAAGAAAGAGAGAGAGAGAGAGAGATTAGTGTGTACGGGAAATCATTGGGGATCGTCTTTTTTGGGCTTGCGATAGTTCTCTTCGACGTGCTTGGCGACGACGAGACCGGTGTTGGTGAGCTTACGAATATTGGGAACGTTGTAGTTCTGGGCCAAGTATACCCCAAAAGCTGATCCCGCCATGAAAGAGAAGCAGCTCCTTATTATTCCCATATCCTCGATCTCTCCCTCTCTCTCAAACTCCTCCTCCGCAAGTTTCAGGTCAACAAGGAAGACGAATTCGCAGGGTTTAGTTTATTTGGGAAGTTGTTGTACGACGCCGTTTTAATTCTCTTGATTGGGCTTATAAGTAAATAAAAATAACTAGTGAGGCCTTTTATTATACTTAATAAATTGCATTTTTAGCTTCTTCTCAGAATTCAGATTTCAGAAATACCTCCAAACGTCGAAAATGGCGGACACTGATATTTTTTTTGGTGAAGATTCTCTTGATCAATTTATGGCTTTCGACAATGATGCTGCCATAAATCTGGACAGGTCTCTCTCTCTTTCTCTTCCCCTTATGACAGTCATAGCTTTGTTTGGCTCCTTTGATTTTTGTTTTGGCCATCAATTTCATTAAGCAATCCAATGTTGCTCGCAGAATCCTAATTTTGTGTGTTTACCACTTGAATGAAAAACCAAATGAAAGGTTACCACTTTATACTTTCTATCACTCCTATATATCTCTATCAACTTAAATTTTCTTTTTTGCAAGCATGGAAGAAAATCCGTTGATCTGTGTTTATGTCGTCAAGATTCCACATACTTGAGCTCTGCTCTTCTGTGCAACGCTTAAGCTGCAAAAAATGCCAACTTGCAACCACTTTGCTCTCAAAAGAGGTAAATATGTCTCCTTTGTATCACTAGGCTCTATCCCTTGTGAGGAAGGGTACTAAACGAGATAAAGTTAACATTAGACAGAGATAACAGACAGCTTGATACGTTTTCTTTCTTCATTGCTAAAGCATTATCTCACTATTTTGTCTAGTTATGATATAAGGATCATTGTAAGGATCTTTGATTCTTGTTAAAAGAAAACATACTCTTTTTAATTAAATAATACAAAAAGGAATGGATGAAGTTCGTTAGTGTTAGTATCATATAGCTTGTGAAAAAAGTGAGGTTAATGAGATGATCTATGTATAAGTTGGGGTTTGTGGCAACTGCCGGATATTTCAACTAATTAGATATCATTCTGAGTCTCAGCTGTAATGAGCAGAGTGAAAAAAAATATGAAATGACCAACTAGGAAAATTTGTGTTTGTTATGTTGTTGTTTGGCTTTGCAGCCATAAGTACTGCTAAGGCGTTTCCACTTGATTTTCCCTGGTCGTCGGCCGCAACAAACTAGGCCTAAACCCTCCTTCTAACAACTTCTCCACTTCCTCAAACTGAAGCCCTTTGGTCTCAGGCACAAGCAGCCAGATGAAGAACAGCCCGATTGCCGAGGACCCTGCAAATAGAAGGAATGTTCCTGATGACCCGACCGCGTTTGTAAGTGTCAGGAACGTCTCACTCACGACGAGATTCGACATCCAGTTTGAGACTGCAGCGATTCCTCCCGCAAGCCCTCTGTAGCGAAGAGGATAGATCTCTGAGTTGACAATCCATGGAACTGTGCCCATACCGGGAGCGTACACAATGATGTAGAGCCCGAGGAAGACGATGGCCAGGTACCCGAACTTGCTGGGGCATCCGTCTTTGAAGAAGGTTCGGCCTTTAGAGTGGCACAATGCCTTCATATCAGCAGACTGAACAACGCAGGCTCCAGGTGCGTACTGTGACAAAACATATATAACCCCAACATGAGTCTTAATTCATCTAGCCAGTACTGTTTTTGTGTGTGTTTTGAGTAAAGAGACTTTATTACCTCCTGTGCTCCGTTGGAGCAGAATCCGCAATCGTATCTAAGACACTTCATACAGTTCCAGTTGGAGGGAGGAGCACGGGAGGCTGTGAATGGGGCAAATGCGGGACAAGTAGCATTTCGAGCAAAATTTCTGGAGTCTCTCTTATCGATCTTGGGAGCGTGGTTTGAGGCTTCATTGAAGACGGCAGCCAATATGATAAGACAAGATATGATCCCGAACATGGAAACGATCATAAGCTTGCGCCGACCATAACGGTCTACAAACATCATGCTTACTACCGACCCCACTGCATTGAGACCGGAGGTTATGAGAGCAAGAGCCATGGCTGTCTTGTTGGATGCATAACCTGCAAACTGCAGAATAGTGGGACTGTAGTACATGACAGTGTTGATTCCCACAAACTGCTGGGCGACCTGGACGGTGATACCTGCGGCCAGGCCGTGGCGGACAACTGGATTCGAGAGAGCGCCTCTGAGTTTATCGGAGAAGGTATGGCCGATAATATCCTCGTCGGCCGTCTCTGCCAGGACAGACTCCTTGAGTGCAGCTATCTCCGCTTCAACCATCTCTGCCGGGTATATTCTCTCGAGGATGTCTCTTGACTCGGCTTTCCTATCATTTCTGTAGAGCCACCGCGGAGACTCTGGTAGCGTTAGCATGAGACAGAACTGAATGATTGCCGGAATCGCCGAGACTCCCAACATCCACCTCCATGTACCCGGTGTCTGTGTGAGTAATCAGTAAGTTAGAGACTTTTCAAATCTTAAAGAAAAATCATTTTGTGAGTTAGTTTGGTTGGTTACATGGACAAAGGCGAGGTTGATGAGATAAGACAGAAACTGTCCTCCGGTGATGAGAAGTCCGTTGGTGCTGACCAAGGCGCCTCTGATTCTCGCAGGAGACATCTCAGATATGTAAAGTGGTGAGGTCATGGAAGCCATACCAACCCCAAAACCCACTAAGAGTCTGCCGAGGATGATGACCCACGGCGCATGAGCGACCACCATCACCAGGGCACCCACCAGGAAGAGCACATCGGCAATAAGAACGGACGTCCTCCTACCAAACTTATCGTTGTACCATCCTCCTATAGCTGCTCCAACAATGGCTCCAGCCACGGTCATGCTCACAATGATCTCCTGGAGCCATGTCTTGTTGTCTACGTCACCAAACTCCTCTTTTATGTAGAGAAGAGCCCCTGCGATGACTCCCGTGTTGTACCCGAAGAGGAGTCCTCCAATACCAGCCGAGAGAGCCAGCCGCATAATGTAAGGGGTCTCCCATGTTGTCGTCCACACCTCTGTGAAATTTATCTCCTCTGTTTTTGCTGCTTCTTCCCCCATCTCTCTGAGTAAATACCTAAGTGGTTATGAAAGCTCTAATTAAGTTTTCTCAAACCTTGCGCTGATCGATAAATGATCGATAAATGTTTACACGTCCAGAAAAGATGTCGTGAAGAATGAAGTTACAAGCATTGAAACTTGAAAGAGTATATATATATATATAGCCATACAGGAGCATGATGGTTCGAGGAAAAAAAAAACAACAAAAATAGAAAAAAGAAGAGTTTGAAGACAACAGATCATGTTCTATCTTAAGTTTTTAATGATTAGCTTGAGTGACAGTTTGCACAAAAATGTCTGTTGTTGACTGGTAAAATTCTGTTGGGAGTGTTTCTTCTGAATTCACCTGGTCAAAACTTTATCTCCTTAGTTCTTGTTTTGTCCAACTGTTACCGTACTATTTTTGGAACATAACCAGGTTACCCCAAAAATAAAAAAATCATGAACATAACCAACATTTCTTCTGTAATACATCTATGGGAGGGATTCGAAACGAAACTGAGTACAGAAGAACAAATCGGACAGTTATAAATCTTAAACACCTTGTACAGTTCTCTGCTACCATAAATCCATCAGAAGATATTGTGGTCAAAGTCTCTCTCTCTGTTTCTACCCTAATTTTCGTCATAAATTGAATGTTGATATCGCTATAAATATGAAGGAAGCAGGTTCAAGACCAAATTCTTGGCCCTTCTCAGTTCTCACTGCAAAGTCATTAATGTTCCAATTGATTGATGAAAGCTAAAAATAAACTTATGGGTCACAATGCAAGGAGCATAACTTAGAAACATTCAGAACTATTATTGTCAGATTCTAGGAACAAAATCAGCAATTCCAAGATACAACTTGGGAAACTTGTGAGTAACAAGATCTCATCATATAAGCTACAACAACAATTAGAAGATTATTAAATCGTACAAAAACTCTTATTAAGCAATAAGAGGAATGTTGTAAATTGCAACAATTTAACTGCATTAAACATATCTTCTCAACGTTCTTAACCATATGAGCTTCGGACTCGATCTTGAGAATCTTTGGCAACCAAAGAATCAACGTATGAGACAACCTCCCATCCCACGGTATATGCATCCATCGACATAATAAATCCATTACAGAATTCCAGTTAACCATTGCATTAATGGCAAACAAATGAACAAAGCCAACCAATAAAAACAAAATAATTTGTAGAACCCTTCACACGAACATAATTCATAAGTGGCACCACAGTGAGAGTCAATGACACTAAGGGGGTGTTATTGGAATTCAGACAACACATCTAAAAGGGTAACAACCATTCGTAACCAAAAGACATCTTTAAGACAAATGAAACTTGAGAAACGGCTCAGATAAAATATGGGTTAGAGATGGTTATCAGCACTAAGATCAGAGTGGTGCATGACATTCTCGTTCATCACTGCCTTGTAATGAAAACAAAACAAAACAAATGAACAAAAGCCTCGGAATTGCATAAGTATCATCAATGTTAATCAGTCCCGAAAGATGGTGTTCTTTTATAATCTGTTGTCCTCATCGGCTAATAAAACCCTAATTAAAACCTAATTAGACAAATTGAAAAAAAAAACAGAGGAATATAGATCTCATGGCCGGTCCCAAACGGTAAAAGCAGCGACGCCGCTCCGCAAGGCAATGGAATATGAGAGCCATTAGCAAATACCTAAAGACGGAGAAGCCCTAGAGCTCCATCAACGTCTTTAAGCTTACCCTATTGATATGTGACGTTTACTAATGGATTATGTAACCACAATTTCAGATTGCTCCATCATTGAGTAATAGATTCCTTGGAGAGAAATCGCGTCACGTAACTAAATCAAACCCAGACAAACACACAAAAGAAAAGTACAATTATTCAAAAGAATCGAAACAATTTCAAGGAAGAAGAAGCAGGAGATGATGAGAAGAGAGAATTCGCGCGGATGTATATATATATACAAGAGAAATTGGAAGCCCTAGAGATTAACACCGCCTTGGCCCTTGGGTCCAAATAGATTGCTTTGCAAGCCCATTACTGGAAATTTAAATTATTTTATTTTTTATGGCAAGTGTAATGGGCTTTGCTAGTGTGATATTTAGATGTTCTAGTCTTCTAGATGTGGATGTGAGGAAGAGATGGTTAATCTCACGCTATTGAAGAGCCACAGCCCTTCTTTATCATATTTTCATGTTTTGGCCAGAAGAAATGTATGATCATCTCAATTTGTGTAAGTATGGATTGTTTATTTCAGAGACAAACCAACAGATATGATGCATTTCAATATCTAGTTCTTCTTAGCTATCTTTGACAATCAACAAGAACATGATAACCATCTTCGAGATCATCAGAAACCACCCGGTATAAGTCGGACATATTCCTCGTAGTTCCAAACAATTATTTGATTCTGTGAAACAAAACATAAAGAGAAGAACAAACCACAAGACCAAATAAACAAAGATGTAAAAGGGTAATAATATAACCATCAGCAACCAAAAGTTATCATCAAAAGCAATAAAGCTATACAGTCCGCATCAAGGTCAAGTCATTATAATGACCATCATCTGGCTACTACTATACCCTTCTCAATCTTAAAACAAAAACATTCACAAATAAGGCTCAGATAAAATATGGGTTAGAGATGGTTATCAGCACTATTATCAGAGTGGTGCATGACATTCTCGTTCATCACTGCCTCTTTACTAATCGAAAACAAAACAAATGAATAGTAGCCTCAGAATTGCAGAAGTAACATCAATATTAATCAGTCCCGAAAGATGGTGTTCTTTTATAATCTGATCTCCTCATCGGCTAATTAAAACCTAATTGGATAAATCGAAAGTGAAAATAAAAAAACAGAGGAATATAGATCTCATGGCCGGTCCCAAACGGTAAAAGCAGCAACGCCGCTCCGCAAGGCAATGGAATATGAGAGCCATTAGCAAATACCTAAAGACGGAGAAGCCCTAGAGCTCCATCAACGTCTTTAAGGCTTACCCTATTGCTTTGTGACGTTTACTATAGATTATGCAACCACAATTTCAGATTGCTCCATCATTGAGTAATAGATTCCTTGGAGAGAAATCACGTCACATTGATCTAACTAATTCAAACCCAATCAAAAGAAAATAAGTACAGAATATTCTAAGTATATAAACAAGGAGAAGATTTTTAAGGAATAGATAGACTGAAGGAGGAGGAAGATGAGATGAGAAAGAAAGCGGTGCGTGGATGTTATATATATACCGGAGATATTAGGGTTTCGGAAACCCTAGATTATTGACACCGGCTTAACATCACGGGCCTTTTGTTAATTCTGCAAGAGAGCCCAGTTAAGCCCAATAGGCAATAGTTTTTTTTTTTTGTTGAAAGCTTTATTGATCTATTCAAATTGTTGTATGTTGGGCCATTTACCAGAGATGGCACGGATCAGATATCTCGGTTTGCGACTCGATAAACGGTGATGTAAGTGTATGTAACAAAAGAATTCACCACAATTCCACGACCCAGACCACTTTTACAAGTTAGAAAGGTCGCACATGAGGTTTACTAGTCCCATGTCGTACTTGGGGAATTGGAAGTGTGGGTCTCATGCATTTCACCCCATGCTTATAAATTGTGTGATCAATATCGTGGCTCTCAAGTTAAATTTTGAACACATATATAACACATTGTTAGTGCATGGCTCCTACTTCATATTTTTTTTTTTTTTTTTGGTTTGACCGGCCAACGATTTTTCATTGATGATTGATGATAGAGTTTTTGCATTATGTCAAAAAAAAAAAAAACTACCATACTTAGTTACAAATGAATTAAAAAAGACCACAAGAAACCGGTACTTTAGTATATCAAGTTTTACGTAAAGATCTTTTGAGAATAATGGTTAGAAGTTCTTGTTTGGACGCATAAAAATTGTTTTACCTTTCATGCATGATCTCAAAGTAATAATGATTTACTGTTTAAAATGTCTTGGATGCCACCAATTTAGTGAGGGTTACGCAGTGCCGGTCCGGTAAAATCCGGGGCCAAATAAACAAATTTCGGCTTTTTAATAAATTAAAAACTGTTATTTGGATTTTTTTTTTTTTTTTTGCTAAATATGAGACATTCATAATTTTTCTTAATTTTTAGACATTTTTTTGTCAATTATTAGAGTTTTCTACTAAGAGTTTTTTTATTAATTATGGGCCCTTTTACTAATTTTGGGAGATTTATTTACTAATTTTGAGGCCTAAAAAAATAAAAAAAAATAAAAATTTTCAACAAAATGGACCTCAAAAATATGAGGCCCAACACAAATGTTTCATTAAAATTGGTAAAAGGCCGGGCCTGGGTTACGGTGGAAACAGAGAACCATGATTACCCATTAGATGACTTTTAAATTTAACCAACCTCAAGCAATGATGCACTCATGCACCTGACCACACCACTTCCATAGACCACCAACCCCACTATTGGATACACACCGTATCAACAATAGTCATTGAAAAGCCCAATTTTAAAAATCTTTCAAAAAGTTTGTTTTTAACATACGTGGCTTTGTACAATGTTATAAATTACTAAATTTCCTCAACATCAAACATGAAATTGTTTAAAGCAGAAGTAAATAATGGTAATTTCGTGATCATCAGTTTGTGGGTTTAATTAAGATCCGAAATCGACATTCCCTAGACGCACATCCATTGCATAAGTTCGTTAATTCAAAACTTGATTATAAACTCTCCAATCAAAATCTCAACAAAAAATGCAAACTGTGTTTCACTAAAAAGTGTGTGGAGGAATTTTCATAACTTCACTTTCATAGTATTTCACTTTCACTTCTCTGTCTCCATCTTACCAATAATAACTGTAAGTCCTTAAATGTTCTAAAACCGACCATATCGTTCTCACTTTTATATATCATTTCCATCATTCATAAGCCACAAATCTTAATTTAATATCTTAAAAAATACGCGTAGGTATGGGCAATGGTCATGGTTCCGTGTGACGTTTACGAACATCTCTCGTCCACGACACATGTCACCTTTATTTGATCTTTGTATTTCTCATCCATTGTCAAATTATATACTACTATTTACTTGAGATTTGTGTAGATTATTCAAAACCATCAAACAATTAATGGTTTTAGGGATAGGGATAGTCACGGGTACATGATTTCAACTCTACACCTTTAAAAACAATAGTCTCTGCAAATTTTGCAATTAATTACATTAATTGTCTTTTTTCTATTTAAGCCACTTGTTGTTGCTTTACACGGAGAGCTGTAGCAAAACACTCTAAAAGCAACAAAGGAGCCAAAGCCAAGCCAACTAACAACAAATCAACGTTTTTGTTTCTATCTACAATCTCTCTGAAAATCTCACAAAGTTTCCATATACTTTTAAATAAGAACTCAAATTTAGGGACAAAGATGAGTTATTTAGGAGTCGGAGTTAGTCCCGGAAACGTCACCGGAAGTAGTACTAAAATGAAGCTGATTGATCGGAAAGTGAGAGTGACAGAGTTGATTCTGAGGTCTTTGGTTTGTGCCTTCGCTCTCGTCGCTGCGATTCTCGTTGCTACAGATGTTCAAGTAAGAGAGATATTCACGATTCAGAAGAAGGCTAAATTCACCGACATGAAGGCACTTGTGTAAGCTTCATGACAAAACTCCTCAATTTTATCGCTTTGTATAAAGTTCGCAACTTTAGCGAGGATCTTTCTCTGAGTTCAGGTTTTTGGTGGTCATCAATGGCATAGCCGCGGGTTATTCTTTGGTTCAGGCGGTTTGTTGCTTGGTGGGTTTGATGAAAGGAAGCGTTTTGCTCAGTGAGCCACTGGCTTGGGCCATTTTCTTCGGCGATCAGGTGACTCTGTTTTTACCCATTTGATCTTTTTCTCTGTTCTTGCTTGGGTCTCTACTATTAAGCACTGAAGTGAATTTTTGTGGGTCAGTGAATTTGAAAAGTGTACCGTATGAGATTCATTTGTTTGGTAGGGTACAAGCATTTATTAGATTTAGGTTGGAATCTTTCATTAATGTTAGTAAATCAATAAGTGATCAAGAATGTTGATAATCTCTGCTTAATGAAAGCAATGAAATTGACCTGGTCTTTTTTCTAGTTCACATAGCTTGTTGTATAAGTGGCATTGTTAATGACCTTGTTTTGCATATATGAGCAGGCGGTAGCATACTTGTGTGTGGCGGGTGTTGCAGCAGCGGCGCAGTCTGCGGCCTTTGCAAAGCTGGGTCAGCCAGAGCTTCAGTGGATGAAGATTTGTGATATGTATGGGAAGTTCTGTAACCAAGTGGGTGAAGGAATTGCGAGCGCTTTGTTTGCTTGCATTGGAATGGTTTTGATCTCTTGCATTTCGGCTTTCGGTGTTTTTCGTTTGTATGGTGGATCAAAACCTCGGCAAAGCTCACGGTGGTGAAGGCCTATACTGGTCTTGGACCAACCTTGTTTGTGGAACCTCTGTTAAATGTCGTGGTGTGTTGTTCTCTATCTATCAGTGTGTATACCGTCTATTACTACTGTCATGATCTCAGCTGCTCTAGAATTGTAATCATGACAATTATGGTTTTTTAATGTGAATAATTACATGTATTTTGTTAACCACAAACAATGACATGTTTAGTCTATCTTTGGTTTGAGTTGCTTAATAACCAAAAAACGGAACTTCAAACTCATCCATGGATATAATGATGGATTACCACCAATCCTTTTAAGTTTTAACTTAAACATAATTTCATTGATCTCGTTCTCATCAAAATACTCACCTCTCGCCAAAACTAATAGTTATATATAGACTGTGGCCAGAAAGAGCAAGTTATATATAGACTCACGAGAATGTTATTGTTTTACATTTTGTTCCCTCAAGTAATTTATTTAAGACACATCTTTCAGAAAGAAAGAAAATAGAAGAAGGAAGAATCTACGTTAACGGACCGGATCATGGAGAAGAAGGTGGCTTTGGTGATGGCTTTGATGTTGCTTATGTCGGTGTTGATTTCCGCCGAGGAAGCACCAACGATCGGACAGAGGATAGACTCAGCCACAACCGACTTTACCAAATTCTTCAATGAACATGCCCGTCCTGCCGTGGACTCTGTCTCCTCTACCGTCAAATCCGTCTACAACTGGTTTGGTGATAAAGCTAAGTATGTATTCTAAATCTTTCTCCCAGTTTCTAATTCACATGGTTCAACGTTAGGTAATATAACTTTTGTTGTTGTTGTTGTTGTTGTATATTTGAAGGGAATGGGGACTCTAGAGATTTGTTTATGAGCGAAGAGGTTTGGAAAGCATTTTCAGCGAATAAAGTTTGATCTCCATGTATTACGTTATTTTTAATTAATATATAAGAAAAGATCTATATTTGTCTTCTAATAAGTAACAACTACACACAAAACATAAACAAATACCACCTATCAATAGAACAAGCAGATAATGATGATTACAAAATTTAATTACTTAAGTGAAAGAAAAAAAATTAAGAGGAAGAGGAGGGAAGAGAGTGGTTGGCGAGGAAGTGGGTGAAGAGGAAAAGAGCGAGACGAGGCTGAGACAATGGCACCTCATGCCCTGCGGCTCTAACGGTCGCGTAAGTTAGCAAACCATCTTCGTAAACCTGGCTCCAACCTCCAACTAGGCCGTGTGAATGGTACCATGGATACCACCTTTTGCTACTCTTCAATTTCATTGCATTTATCGAATGCCTTGTACCACTTAGCGGTAACACTGCGTCCGAGTCCCCACTATACAAATAATTCAACACAAATTTTAATATTTTTGTATTAGAAACCTCACATCTAAAGTAAGATGTAAAATATACGAGTCTGCCAATTGATTTTGAGTTGGACGCTTATGAAGTTTAACATACAAAAACACGTTAGTGATTATACCTGAAGATCCAAATACGGAGATGAGCTTGAAGAAGATTCTTGATGACGGGAAGCATGGACTTAGGTGAGTCTTTCCAATTCTTTCTTATGACACGACTGCAAGGGGTCCAAGGAGTACTGCGGTTGAGGCGGGCATGGAAAGATTTGTGCACATCGAGATCGTTCATATACTTGCGTGTATATCCCACAACACACTCATCATTCCCTCTATACCGCCATGCTTGCATCCACTCATTTGATGATGAATGTGTGGTGCATGCAGGGCTATTGATGTTGTAAGGGTCGATGTCACCAAACTCAGACAAGGCTTGGTTCAGAGCAGCGTTGCAGTTGGGCTTGGGAAATAGGATGGAGTCGTTGAGACACCACTTGGTCAGGTCCTTGTAGCTTTCGTCGGATATAAGCCCGTGGTTCCACCAGTAGTCACGCATCCCTTTGTTGTCATTAAAATCATCCACTAGGGGATTCCCCATCTTTCATTTTTTTATAAAAGTATAAAAATGATTTAGTGATTTATCCATAAATGAGTGAGTTATACAAAATAAATTCTTACCAGAATCCCTTTTAGATTGATAGTTGGGTTTTGGGCACCTTTGTTACGGTTGACGATCAGTTGAGCTAGCTCCGGGATATAATGTCCTAATTAATCACAAACCCCAATACAATAAGATCACACATGACATATTAATTGTTACCAATAAGCATATCACTCATTTGGGTATAATATATGGTAGTTCAACCGGCGACGTCATAACGCTAAATCTTCGTATTCATATGGAGTCATTAAAGACTTAATTTGGTCATAAAAGAAAAGTCAATTGGGTTGTTGTGGATTCCCTTTTTCTTATGTTTTACATTTTACAAAACCCATTATTTCTCTGAATAAATATTTTTCCGAGCTTTTTTTTAGTGGGGTTTCCGTTGATTCGTAATTGAAATAGTCATTGAAAGAAAAAAAAAATAAGTAAAGAAATTATTGGGTTCAATTTCGCACATGCATTCATGCATATTATGTACATGAATGGACCGGAAGTGCATATCGTGTCCTATGCATAAACAGTTATATAAACAATTACAATCAAGTCAACAACCATAACCATCTGGTTCAACTGCTTAATATTTGTAGAATCTCACATGACAAATTTATATTAGAAAAAGATGATTTAGTAAATTAGAGGATAAAGATTTAAAATGGACGAAGGAAGAAAGTACCAGCGTAGCTCTCGCCGGCGATGTAAAACGGTCGTTCCTTATACTCAGGGAACCTCTCCATCCATCTCACCAAGAATCTATATGCATCCTCCCCTGTCCCCACATCATATCTTATATTCACTAATAATGTAATTAATAACTAACACTTTCTTAATTATAATTATGAAACTATATAAAACCTGCCCTCTTGTCTCCCACTGTTAGTTCGTCAGACGAAGTGTTTGTGTAAGAGAAACCTACTCCCGCCGGTGAATCCAAAAATAACACATTTGCAACTGCATACATTATTGATTGCATTGTGATTACCAATAAGATCGATAGTAAAAAGTTTCAAATCAAATTAAAGATTAATTAATACCTTTGTTCCAAGCATAGAGATTTAAACGAAGAGTCTTTCCATCGGGATTAACCCGAAATGGACCAACTTCCTCAGAAGCACCGTAGGCAATGGAGGAGCATCCTGGACCACCATTGAGCCATAGAACTAAGGGCTTCGTACCGCTGGGCCTAGGAGCTTCGGTTAGCCAATAAAAAAGATTCCGTCCAGCCGCGGAATCAACAGTGACGTAGCCAGAGAATTGAGAGAAATTGAGGTTAGGAGGTTGCCCTGGCAAAGAGATGATCTTGTCCTTCATCTTTTGCTCTTTAGCATCATCACTACTCACTACGTCTAATATTGCAATCACCATGCATAATAAACACATACATTGATATAGTTTTTTTGTGATCATCATCATCAAAGAAAGAGAGTGCCTTTTTTTCTTAAGTTTCTTGGGAGTCTCTCATTTAACACCTTTATGATTTTATACTATAATTTGGCAAACGAGGGTCGTTGTCAACTTATGCCATTTTTAGGTATTATAATGTGGTGTATTTAATATGTATACAATTAAACTGTTGATTATATTGCATATAGTCAAATTAGCTTACTTGTGGATCGAGTATTTTGACTACTCTCTAGTTTCTTAGACATTATTGTGTTTCCGATTCGTTGGCATCTTGTATACATATCTCATCTTGAAAGTTATCGCATGTTTATTTTATTCATTTTTATCGTTACATAGTCATTGTCAAAATAGTATACTTCTCTGTTCATTTACAGGTTTCATAATTTGATATATAATTTTATTATAGGGATATTACCTAGCTTTGACTAGTTAAAAGCTAGATATTGCTTGCTTACACCGTAATTTAGTTAGTCATGTATTTCACATGGAGACGTGTAGACATATATGATATCGTCAGGGAGGAACTTTTAATATAAAGAAAGTGGGAATTAGCAAGTCCTTAAAAACGATAACCAAATAAAATACTCATCACAAATAATTAGTTGATTGGGTTGGTTTTAATTGGTAAGCCGATTTTGTTTGACATTTTATGGTTTGTCCATTCATATTTTTCACTTTAGTTTCACCTAATGCTGATCTTGTTGCCTACAATTTGGGTTCTTTTTGTCCTGCCTTTTTGTTTCTATTTTTTAACAAGTGAGATATTGCTTCTTTTTTCTTTCTTTTTTTTTTAATTATTTTCTTTCACATCAATGGATAACTAATTACTTCAAAAAAATATGCATATAGAGATGGATACAAGGTGAGCAATCCCAAAGAGGATCATGTGCCTCTAATTAAATGCATTCCCTAAACTTTTAAATAGAATTAAAAACCATGTCTTACTCGTTTGCTTGTGTACCAAGAAAAGCAACGGAAAGCCTTGATTTAATAGTAGCAGCTAAGCAACAGACAACACTCATTATTATTTTCGTTGAATATCAGATCAACTAAATTGATATGTACACAAAGCTTTTAGAATAAACAATGTGAAGAAGACATGAAAGTGAAAATTATTAACATTTGTTAGGATTAGACACAGAAGCTTAAGGATTGTGTGTCAATAGTGCCAATGAACTGATAGCTGAGAATGTGAAAAAGAGATTCTTACTTCTTATTTATAAAGAAACTCTGGTCATATCTCAAAGTGTCTTAAATTTACATTGGCAATGGCTTGTTGTCGAGAAACGACTGAAAAAGAAGAAAAGCTCGACGAGGGCGGTGAAGAGGTACCTCATGTCCTGCTCCATGTATTGTCACCAGAGTCAGCCCTTTGTAAACTTGGCTCCATCCACCAACCTGTTGTTTCAGTACTCATACATTAGTTTAATTCCGCGGAAGAAAGAAATCAAACAAAGGAAACAGAGTATGTTGTTGTTTTTTTCTACCTGTCCATCGTCGTTCCAAGGGTACCATTTGGAGAGTGGTGGTAACTTGAGGGCTCTGATGGAGTATCGTGTTCCAGTAATGGGAACCACTGAATCAGTGTCTCCGCTGCATCCAAATTTACGGAACAAGATATCAATCCTGATTCTAAACCGAATACAAGACTGTTGATAGAAAGGAGAATTAGTTACCTGAAAACCCATATTCTGAGGCCTGCGGCGATGAGTTCCTTGTAGATTGGAAGCATAGATAGAGGAGAATCTGCCCATTTCTCTCCAACTATGTCACTAAACAAGGAAACTATGTCACTGAACATGAACCACAAGAGAAAGTATCTTGTAAATTTTGAACACCCATTGATGTGTTTTTTACCTGCAAGTTTTCCATGGATAAGAAAGTCCTGTTATATTAGCATGCATAGCCTTTTGAACCTCCGGAGAATTGAAATACATGCCTGAGTATCTATCTGTGCAAGGGTCATATGCTCTCCACATCCATGGCTTAGTTAAAGAAAAAACGTAGCAAGATTAAAGATTTGTCAAATCTTTTACCTATGGACTATGCCTTGGCAGAGTAACTTGAATCTATAGAAGCAGCCATAAAGCAAATCAACTCAGGCAATGAATTGGAATCTAGTAGCAGTGAGAAAAAGATAGACAATCTGAAAATTTCTTTGTAGTCCAGATATCATGTAATCGCCACTCTACCTACTTGAAGTCATGGACTAGCCTAAGTACCATTATCTATTTGTTGAGAATAAAGGTTCTCATATATTGGTCATTTTGAATCTGGTAGCACAAAGAGAGGCTCTAATACATAGCCAATTCTGCATAGTAAAGTTGGAACCTCTTAATGACCAAGACTACATTAGTCGAGCTGGTAATAGTAGTAAAAGGAAAATGATGGGCAGTGATGGAAAACTCACATGACGAACCCTCGAGAAGCGAGACCTAAGAGCTGCAGCCTCCTTCTTACAAGTCACAGTGTAAATGCTATATGGATCAATATTGCCTTGCTCCAAGTCTGCAGCTTCCATGGCCTTGCTGCATTCAGGGGACGGGTGCTCGGATGATCCAAATTCACAAGTGATCCGTAAGTTGTGGTAAGTGAGATCAGATATCAAACCATGAGTCCACCAATATTCAAATAAACCCACGTAATCATGGTAGTCATCAATCACAGCATTCCCCACCTAAAAAGAAAGAAACTCACTTTGATCACAACACAATAAGAACATGTTTTTGTTCTGAATAGATTTGGTGCGTTTTTGCTTACAATGAAGCCTTTGAAGTTGATAACTGGATTGCGTTTCTCATAAACAATTTGCGACAACTGAGGAACATAATGACCTAAAGAAGAATACGAAAATGCTTAGCTAAGATAAGGTTTGAAATTGAATAGAATCAAATAATAATAACCTGCATAGCTTTCTCCAGCAATGTAGAACTCTCTGTGCTTGTATTGAGGAAACCTCTCAAACCATTTCACAAGAAACACATACGCATCTTCAGCTGGGAAAATCAAACCAAAATCATCAAATGATTGATGAATCTAATCGAATATAGAGAAAGAGAGGTTAAAGGTCGAGACTTTACCAGTTCTCTTGTCTCCGGCAGTGTACAAATCGGAAGTGGTATTCGAATACGAGAAACCAACACCAGCTGGAGATTCAAGAAACAGCAAATTCGCCACTGACCCAATATAAAGAGTGTTAATTTAAGGATTGTGAAATCCAAAATTGGAGAGAAATGGAGATATAGAGAGATACCTTTGTTCCAAGAGTAAGGATTGTGGTAAAGAGTTTTGCCATCAGGATTGATTCTAAAAGGTCCGATTTCTTCAGCGGCGCCGTAAGCGACGGAGGAACAACCAGGACCACCGTTGAGCCAGAGAACAAGTGGCTTTGACTCAGGGTTTTGACTCGGTGGTGACTCAGTGAGCCAGTAGAAGAGTGCTCTTCCAGCTGACTCGTTGACGGTAATGTAACCAGAGAAGTGAGAGAAGGAAACATCGTTTGGTTCACCGGGAAGGTGTGAGATTCGGTCCTTTTCTTGTTCGTGTCTGGAACAAAATGTGTAAGGGAGTAGAATGAGGAAGAAGAGGAGAAGGAATCGAGACATGGTGGATGAAGAATGATAAGGGTGAAGTGAAGATTTCAATGTTTTTGATTATTACAAACAAAAAAATCAGTGGCTGGTGGTGGTGGTCCAGAGAGGTTTAATAATTGAATTGAGTGATTAAATAATGGCGGTTATATTACAGCATTGACTTTTTTTTAACTACTTGACCTTGCCAAATGTTATGTCCCTTATCATCATCTGATTTCTCTCTACATCAAACTTACATGTACGAAAATAGAGTTATATCTGAAAGTCTCTCTTCTCTAGGAAGAGCCAATCCTATAGTATACAAAAAGAAAATTTTGTTAGGTGTAGAAGAAAAAAAAAAAACAAACAAAGAAAAGGTGTGGAAGTGTTAAAAAGGACAAAACAAAGAATCGAACACCAGGCTTCAGGCGAGTAATTCTAACCACTAGACCACTTTAAAACACTTGTCCGCGTCAAGTTTAATTAATACATAAATATAACAAAACAATATCTAAAACCCTACAACATTCCTTCATTTGGAGACCTGAATCTTGCAATCGAGAACAGAAACGGCGATGGGAAGATCAGCTCTGATTCACTTGCTTCGCTCCCAATCCCGACGTCTCTCTTCCTCCACCTCCACTACAGGTTCTTTAATCTCTCCACTATACACCTTTCTTTTACTGGAAAAGCTCAATTCATTACGGCTTTAGTGTAGAAAATAGCTGCTATTTATTGGCTTCCATGGCTTTTGAATCCAAATGCTTACCCTTTCTCATGATTCAGTTTTCCCTTTTCGATTTGATGGTGAAAGTACTTTACTTGATCGGACCAAATCCGATGAACTGAAATAGATTTGAAATTGACTTAAGAGATTCTCCCAAAGCCTAATCTGGATGAGAAATGGCAGGCTAGGGTTTTTCCAGTTCACTTGAAGCATTTTGATTCTTAGCAATTGGTAAGGCAATACATAGTCTGGGTCTCAACCGGATTTTGAAATTTGGGCTTGAGCTTCATTTGGATGAGAAATGGCAGGCTAGGGTTTTTCCAGTTCATTGAAGCATTTTGAGTCTTATCTGCTGTTTGAGGCAATAGTATGAGTCCAATGCCATTGATATTGTCTTGTGGTGCTTTGATGTGGTTCTATCCCTTAAAAGTCAATAATGGTCACGAGATCAGATGTAGCCTAGTTCTTCTGATCTTTCGGTCTTTAAAGTTCTACTTTACCAAAACTGAGTCTAACTATTTGGTGGAATTTCCATGTTTGTTAGTGTTTTGTTCTAAAACTATACGAATGCCACAAATTCATCAAGCCTGTGGTCATTTCTTTTCAGGATATCATCATCGGTCAATAGCAGGATCATGGTCATCATCATCAGTGATCCCTAAGGTCAGATTCCAGGTTCCATCCCTTAACCAGAGAAGCTGGGCATCATTTGGAGCAAAGACTAGAGAGGACGATGATGAGCACAAGATCAGCATCGGACCCCAAGAGAAGAAAGAAGAGAATGATGGAGGGGTGGTTTACTATGGCCCAATCTCATCCACCATCAAGAAAGTGAAACTCCTCTCCCTCTCCACTTGCTGTCTCTCAGTGTCTCTTGGCCCAGTCATCACTTTCATGACTTCCCCCGGACTGAATGTGATCATGAAAGGTGCGGTTGCCTCCACTGTGATCTTCCTTAGCGCATCCACAACCGCTGCTCTCCACTGGTTCGTTACCCCTTATGTGCACAAGCTGAGGTGGCAGCCGGGTTCAGACACTTTTGAGGTCGAGATGATGACATGGCTCGCCACATTTACCCCGAAAACACTGAAATTCTCAGACATACGTTATCCAGACACGCAAAGACCGTATGTGAGCTTCAAGGCGGATGGGAATTACTACTTTGTGGACGCAGATCATTGCCCCAACAAGGCATTGTTGGCTAGACTCACCCCTCCAAAGGATGCTCATGACTCTGCTTTCAAGAACTTGTAATCCAAATTCGTCTCTTTGTTATACTTTCTCTCTTTTATTGGGTGTGGATTTTTGTTGGGTTTGTAGCTCTTAAGATACTTGGATACCTCCCTTTCTCATCACTAAAACCCAAAAAAAAATGCAAATAAGAAAAGAGTTTAATCAATTGATCCAATTGCTAAATCTATTGAGACATTAAAAAAACCGGTTTCGAACCGGTTGGTGTTAAAAACCGGTTTCACTTCAGTTTTTTTAGTAGTCCCATTTTGGTTACAGCGATCGGGAAGCTCTCTCTGACGGCACCGGTGAGTCCACCAGTCACCTCTGACGGCTACGCAAATCCAAATAAATCTGTGGATGAAACGAAGAATCCCAGATTTCTGAATGGTAAATAATTCGAAACACTAATAATCTCTTCCAGAAATTAGGGTTCATCCGTTAGTTGTGACTTGTGAGTTTTGTTCCGTGAATCTTTTAGATTTGCCATCTGCTTTCGATTCTAGGTTTCATCATATCATGAATCAGTGCTCTGTTAATCTTGTTTGATACTGGTCAATGATTTCTAAATCGATCATTATGTTAAATCACACTCTTGGCTCTTTTTGTTTATAAGGAAATGGATTTCTCTTGTAAAAATCTTTGTAGAGTCTGAGTTTTGGCACTCCCTTGGCTTTTCTCATCTTGAAGAGTCTTTAGTTTTGTTAGGATAAGATTTAAAAGTGACTGCAAAATACTTCTTTCGTGAATGCAATGTTTTCTACGTCCCTTTGGATTTCTTGTTTTCAATGTCTGTTGCAAAATTTAGTACTCTTTTGCAAATAGTTTTACTTATTTTGGATCAATGGATCTTGAAAACTGTGATAAGTGAGCATGATTTATTATTCCCTGTGAATTTGAGAATGATGATTGTAAGAAGAACAAAGCATATACGAATGCTTAATCTGTGTAATGGCGTTTTGGTACATCAGGCGACACCATTTATAGCGGGGGTTGCAGTAGCTGCAACAGCACTTGCTGGTAGATATGGAATCCAAGCATGGCAAGCATTCAAAGCAAGGCCACCAAGGCCCAAAATTAAGAAATTTTATGACGGCGGTTTCCAGCCTACGATGACGAAAAGGGAAGCTGCTCTTATTCTTGGCATCAGGTGAAGGAACACACACACAGATACTCTGTTTCTCTTGTCTTTAGTAGTTTCTCAATCCTCAACTAATTTGTGGTCGATTTGGTTATAGCATTAGCAGAGTTTCATTGAAGAAAGTGTAACGTTGTTTGAAATGTGGGTTTTGGGATTGAAACACAGGGAAAATGTAGCGGCGGAAAAGGTGAAGGAAGCACACAGGAAGGTAATGGTTGCAAACCATCCAGATGCAGGTGGTAGCCATTTCCTAGCATCTAAGATCAATGAAGCTAAAGACGTGATGCTCGGCAAAACTAAAAACAGCGGATCCGCTTTTTGATGCATATTTCAATCAAAGAAGACTCCATATGAATCATCTTATGTTATAGAACCTGCATTGTTATAGTGCAGATTTGTATGCTAAATTATAAGCTTGTGGTCTGTTTGTGAGACACTAAAAGACTCGAATCTTTTCTTTCACTTGTGGTCGTTGAAAAGAATCACAAAAATCAAACGCAAAAGGAGAAGGGCGTTTTAGTCTTTTTAGCTTCAAAAAATCCAGTAATAGAAACTGTAGTACACGTGTCACGTGGCTCCAGCAACGTCTTACGTCAACCTCTATCCATTCATTCCCCTTATTAGCAACTCCCTCCACAAAACTCTTTTTACGTATTTTTTGTTTTATTGGTAAAACAATTTTTTTATTTATCCTCGTTTTAAAAAAAGAAATATTGAAAATTGGAAGTCTAATTAAAAAATTGTTAAAGGCAAAGTCGAATCCATAATTTAAATTGCTAAAAGCCTAGAACTGGATTATGATTAATGAGATTTGAGACCCGGTCATGATTTATCCACTACACGAAAACGTAAATATAGTATTTATTAATTATTATCTGATATAATATCCATGTCTTTATCTTCTTCTAATTTTCATTTTTTATTTTTTAAAAAGGAAAAAAAAAAAAAAAACAAAGAAGAGAGAAAGAAAGAAGAAGGGAACTAAAGAAGGGTCATCATCATTTCATGGTTACCTCCTCCTCCTCTCTTCTTACTCTCACCATATCTGCTCTCTCTCTGTTTCAAGCTTTTGCTCCCATTTCTTCTTCATTTCATTTCCTTCGTATTCTCGCTTGAGCTTAACGGTTGATATCCCAATGGCCAAATCGGTATCTGAATCGCCGTCGCTTCCTTTCTTTTTCTTCTGATTTCATCTTTTTCTTTTCGGAGAATCTCTCGCAGTTTTAGGGTTTCTTTTTTTCCCACGGACTTTGGGTTTCTTTAAGAAGTTGGATTAGTGCGTTTTGTTTTTAGGGTTCGTGTGTTGGATTCGATCTTTCTTTGGTCTCTTCCATTGAATGTTGCGGTGATAAGAGTGACGACTACAATGGTGTCTAAGAATGATCATATCGGGACTTTCTTCAATTCAATCCAAGTAGTTAAAGATGTTCTTCTTCCGATTGAGCTTGGTGTGAAAAAGGCGGCAAGAGATATTGAAAATTGTTGGATAAGCAAAGAAAGGGATCTAGGTCTTGTTTTGAGATCATCTGGAAGAAATAGGAAGAAGCGGATTTGTGCTAGTCCTGAATTTGACGACAATGCTACTAATAATGTTCAGTGTGTGGTAAGTGATGAGAGAAAGAAAGGTTTGTCTATCAAGATCCCTGTGAAGTCACTCTTTGGTATGTTTTCTCCGAATTTAGCGAGTGACAAGTTGAGTCGTAGAAATGATGTGGTGGTGGTGAAGAAAGATAAGTCTTTGGAGAAAGATGATGATTCTTGTACCAATTGCTTCAAGTTTGCGATGACTTGGTCTTTGTTGGTTAGTGGCTTTGTTCATGCTTTTCCTATTCCTTTTAAGATAGGTAAAAAGAGGATTCACAAAATGGGGGATGATGAGAACAGTCTACGTAAACACTGCCTTAAATCAAAGGCGGTATTTGTAAATCGGAAAGAAGTGAGGCGTCAGTCAGTTGAATCTGTAGAAAAGGAAGGGAACCCTTTTTCGATTGAATGTGCTGTTGGTTTTGTTGTTGAAATGTTGGCTCAGAATCTCCAGAAGCTGGACCAATTCATACAGGATAGTTCAGAGAATGAATCTTGTTGTTCTAAAGAAGCTAGTCCTAATGATGGTCCACTTATCTTTAACATCTGGGAGGCTAGAAAACTTGACGTAAATGGATTCCTCGGGAACCTGATGTTTGCCAGAGTTGGAGATGTGGTGTCAGGTATAGGTGGCCTGACTTCTCACGTAAGTGAAGATGGTGATGAAAGTAATGTCAGTACTGCTGGTAAGGAGGAAAGTGCAGTTGATTCTCCGCAGAACCTGGCAACTGGACTACTGAGTATACCTTTATCAAATGTAGAGCGCTTAAAATCCACTCTATCCACGATTTCACTGACTGAACTTATTGAGCTTTTACCGCAATTAGGACGGCCATCAAGAGACCATCCAGACAAGAAAAAACTGATTTCTGTTCAGGATTTTTTCAGATACACAGAGTCTGAAGGTATGAATCCTCCCATTTTTATTAAGAAATAAGAACCTTACCTTTTCTTGGCAACTTGGTAAGTAAAAAGAGAGCAGCGGGATGTTGCATATATATTTATTACTTGTCTTGCCAAAGCTTGAAGTTGACTGTTGAAGGCATTTGTGTTGGTGAAATTCATTGAAAAAGGATACTTGTTGGTTGAAATTACCATGTCTTCGTTTTTATTACCTGCTCTAGTCATCATCTCAACTGATGTCTTAACTGTTAAAACTTAAGTAATGTGTGTTGCTGTTTCTCAATACTAGATTCTCTGCTAATATAAGGAACACATTACTTATTTGCTCTTGAAAATGTTTACGTTCTGTACTATAATTTATTCCGTTTCGTCCAATATAACCCTTTGTGGCTTCTAGGCAGGAGGTTCTTTGAAGAGTTAGATAGAGATGGTGATGGCAAAGTAACTTTGGAAGATCTGGAAATTGCAATGAGGAGAAGAAAATTGCCCAGAAGATACGCCAAGGAATTTATGCGACGAGCTAGGAGTCATCTTTTCTCGAAATCGTTTGGTTGGAAGCAATTTTTGTCCTTGATGGAACAGAAGGAGCCAACCATCCTCCGTGCCTATACTTCTCTCTGTTTGACCAAGTCTGGTACTCTTCAGAAGAGTGAGATATTGGCATCACTAAATAACGCAGGACTTCCTGCTAATGAAGAAAATGCTATAGCGATGATGAGATTTTTGAAGGCTGATACCGAGGAGTCTATCTCATACGGACATTTCCGTAATTTCATGGTGTTGCTGCCATATGAGCGGTTACAAGATGATCCTCGGTAAGTATAATTCTTTGTTGTGAAACAAAATTGATGTTTTATTTTGTAGCGGTTTGTCTTTGTACTAATGAGTAAAATGCCAATTTGATCAGTAGAACTGTATGGATTGAACCAGACCAGTTCCCCCTTAGTTGTTCTCATCGATTTCATGTTGATTTCCTCAAACACTTCAAACCTGTAATTCTTGTTGTCATATCGATGGTGATTGATGCTATTTACTTGTATAGTAACATCTGGTTTGAAGCTGCGACTGTTGTTGCTGTTGCACCCCCTGTGGCCTTACCTGCTGGAGATGTTCTAAAATCTGCATTAGCGGGAGGGCTTGCCTCTGCTCTCTCCACTTCCTTAATGCATCCGATTGACACAATCAAGGTGAGTCCTCTTGGTGCTTTTGCAAGCTGAATGTAAGTAAATGCTCAATTTTGACAAGTTTAGGTGAGAACTTAGCTACCACAAAGCTCTGCCTTAATCAGGACGTAATTGACATCTGATTCTACAATATTTGAATATTTAGATAGATGTAGTATGCAAATAATTCATCCTGGCTTTTCGTGGCATATTGCTGGTTTGATGGATTCATTATCATTTTCATGCCAGACACGTGTGCAAGCATCAACGTTGTCATTTCCTGAAGTAATAGCAAAGCTTCCAGAGATTGGTGTGCGGGGAGTGTATAGGGGTTCTATTCCAGCAATTCTTGGACAATTTTCAAGGTCTTTTCAATTGTTTTAAAGCAAAGATATTTTCACTTCTACTTGTTAAATTTCATTTCCATGTGGCTTAATCTTTGTCATCATTGTAGCCATGGCCTGCGGACAGGAATATTCGAAGCAAGCAAACTTGTGTTGATCAATTTTGCTCCCAATCTCCCAGAATTTCAGGTGATGATCTCTCCACTCACTTCAAAACTCCACTTGTCCTCTGGAATCCCAACATTCTATCGTTTCCTAGAAACCTCGACACTGCTTTTATCCTCTATAGTTCATGGCATCTAGTAAGTGAACCATATGTTAGATGCAAAATCCAGTATCAAGGCTATTACTTAGCTTCCTTGAAGTTTTTTTGTCACATGGTAGTCGATAGATCCTTGTATACTAACTATTAGTTGCATCTCCTTGGTTATAAAGTTCTAGTAGTTATGTAAAATTTATGGCTTGAATAATATATACCTGATACTGCTGGGGCAAAAATGGTCTCTTAATTACTTGGTTTGATAAAGTTGTGTATGGTTTCTGAAGAAGAACTTAACCGCTTTTGGTTAACAGTTATATCCTCTGCATTTATGCTTTCTGATCTCTGTGTTTTGTACTCAGTAAGCAATGTTGAGCATTTGATGCAGGTTCAATCAATTGCATCATTCTGCAGCACACTATTAGGCACAGCTGTGCGGATTCCATGTGAGGTGCTGAAGCAACGGTTGCAGGCTGGCATGTTTAACAATGTAGGGGAAGCCATTGTAGGGACGTGGAAGCAAGATGGTCCAAGTGGCTTTTTCCGTGGGACAGGCGCAACTCTTTGCCGTGAAGTTCCACTATACGTTGTTGGCATGGGACTGTATGCAGAGTCCAAAAAGGTAAGAAAACTGAAATGGTAAGATAATCAAAAGGCTCAAGACTGTAAATGTTATCTTGATTGGGGTTTGTGTGTGTATTGTAGATGGTGGCGCAAGCGCTGGGAAGAGAACTCGAGGCATGGGAGACAATAGCGGTTGGGGCGGTGTCAGGAGGTATAGCAGCAGTTGTAACAACCCCATTTGATGTGATGAAGACGAGAATGATGACTGCAACACCAGGGAGACCGATCTCAATGTCGATGGTTGTTGTCTCGATTCTGCGTAATGAGGGACCACTTGGTTTATTCAAAGGGGCAGTCCCGAGGTTCTTCTGGGTGGCTCCTCTAGGTGCTATGAACTTTGCTGGCTACGAGCTAGCCAAAAAAGCTATGCAGAAGAACGAGGATGCTGTGCTAGCGGATCAGCTTGGTCAGAAGAAGCTTTGCTAATGGGATTTCACTTTGCTTTGCTTTGCTGCTACGAAGTTTTTTGGGGGCAGCTTAAGCCGGAGACTCTCCTCTTTTGTTAAATGCTACTTTGCAAATTTTTGACAAAAAAAAAAGTTCATTGTTTTGTTGTGCATTGAGGACAGTTTCTCTTTGTAAAAACTCTGGTTCAAAAAAGTTATTTTTTGGTCTCTCTACAATTGGTTGGTACTTTTGACTGTTACAGAAGGGAACACAAATGACTGAGGAATCCAGTCGCCGGTTAAGCAGATCCCATCTATTCAGGTTTAGTTGTGTACAAGAACGAGGAAGAAAACATGTAAAGTTATCCCTAACAATCAAAAATAAAAACAAGTGGAAAGGAAAATAAAAGAGCAGAATAAAATTTACTTACTGTCATAGGCTTCTTTGTACATGTCTACTATGTCAGACCCAATTCCGTTTCTATAAAAATCCCAGTCAATGGGTTCCGGTTCCTGAGCATAACAAGAAGTAGGTAAAGGGATGACTCATGAGGGGGCAATTTTGAATTTGCAAATCAGGGCAATAATGTATCAGTGACCAAGTAAGAACTAGGATCAAAATTCAGCAGAACATTTTCAGCATTTGGTGCTTTCATTGACCTAAAACTGTCTTCACAGCATCTAAATGAGGATAGGCAACACAAAACATGAGAACACCTATAAGTATATATAGATTTTCATTTTAATCCCATACTTCTTAACACCCGAAATGCAAAACGGTCCCTTGTTTTCTCTCTTATTTTCATTTTAATCCCATACTTTTCAAATTGTCAAGATATCCCTAAATCGATACTTAGCTCGATAAAAACTTGAGCTAATAAAAAAAGGCGCTCAGATGCAATTTCTCTTTCATTTTCTTGTGGTCAACGATGGCGACATCTCCAGTGGAAGTGAATCTGATCCCGATCGAAGCTACTTCCGAGACCTTCGCAGACTATGGTCAAATCATCGAAGCCTCTCGTGATGGTGAAACTTTCGGTCCCAACGACGCTCAATTGGATCTCTCCAGAGGAACCCCACGGTACTCTTTCCGATTTCTATGTTGGTCCCAAATAGTTGTGTTGATCATTTCCAAATTACAAAAGGCATAAATTTTGTGTAACGTATTTTACAAGTCTTGAGATTTAAGTACAAGTCAAAACTTTTAGGTTTTTGATTTGTTCAATGTGTTTGTACTTTGACAGGTTATATATTATGCCACTTCAAGATACATCCTTTAGCTTTTCCAAGATCACACATCACGCACACGTGACACAGTGCCTAGGATCAATAGGAGCTCATGCTTGGTATGTTGGAGTGGCTAAGCCGTCTCTTATTGAAGATGATGACGAAAGGAGAGAAGATACAGTAGAATCAAAGTCTGGTCACTTGTACGCTCCTCCTGCGGTGGAAGAGGTGCGCGTCTTCAGGATCTCAGGAACAAAGTTTGTTAAATACAACCGCGGTACATGGCATGTTGGACCGCTCTTCAAAGAAAGCTCCATGGACTTCTACAATCTTGAGCTCACCGACACAGATGTGAGTGGGGTTCTAATATCTAAATAGTACCCCTAGTGATTCTTGTATAGACGACATTGTTGGTGTTGATGATATCATATGTTCAGGTGGTGGATGAGACGACATATGATTTCAGGAAGAATAATGGAGTCATCTTCCGATTTAAACCCATAGAGGAGACATCATCCTAGCTCAAGCCTGGCTATCAGTTTGTGATGTAGCTGCGGACTCAAGTGAACCGAACCACATGACATCAAACCACCGGAGACGAATTCCAAGCCGCAAATACTTGCAGTAATCAGTTATTGTTCTTTGTTTCTTTTAGTTGATTGTGCTATTTGTTTCAAGTTAAAATAAGAAGAGAACTGGTCGTCATGATGTTTAAGGAACCACCTCTTCCACATTTCCACATCTTTGTTTCTGTTTGTCTATTTAAATGAAGGAAAGAAGGAAAAAGCCAGGCAATCTCAATTGCAAAACAAAATTGTTCTTGAGTTGGAGTTTCAAGCTAGGACTTAGTATCCATAACCAATTCAGTGAAAAATCAATGATTATTGTTATAATCTCCAATATCAAGAAAATCTCTTTTTTCCATGTTAATCCCATACTTTTAAAATTGACAAAAAGGCCCAAATATCCAATCTTGAAACTGATTGATTTTAAAACTTTTTTGAGTGAACAAAAGAAGCTCATATCCAATCTTGGCTTCCATTTTCTTGTGGTTCACAATGGCGAAATCTCCGGTGGAAGTGAAACTGATCCCGATCGAAGCTACTCCGGAGACCTTCGCAGACTATGGTCAAGTCATCGAAGCCTCTCGTGATGGTGCCTCTTTTGGTCCCGACGACGCTCAATTAGATCTCTCCAGAGGAACCCCACGGTAACTCTTTTCCCGATGCTCTAAAAATTTCGTTAATCCCGAACATTCTTGATAAACTCATGTGCTTCTTCTAATCCGATGCTAATCTCCGTTTAGATTCCTCATCTTTAATGCTAATTTATCAATCTATGTGATTTGTACAAGGTATTTACAAGTTGTGATATGTTTGTTCTTGTTTATAAATCAGTAGCTAATCACATTGTTACTGTGTAATATACTTTGGTGGCAGGTTCTATATACTCCGGCTGGAAGGAAGATCCTTAGGGTTTTCCAACATCACACATCACGCAAACGTGACACAGTGTCTAGGATCAATAGGAGGTCATGTTTGGTATCTTGGAGTAGCTAAGCCGTCTCTTATTGAAGATGATGATGGTAATGGAAGGAGAGTAGATGCAGTAGAATCAAAGTCTGGCCACTTGTACATTCCTCCGGCAGTGGAAGAGATTCGCGTCTTCAGGATCTCGGGACCCAAGTTTGTTAAACTGAACCGCGGTACATGGCATGCTGGACCCTTGTTTAGAGACAGCTCCTCCATGGATTTCTACAACTTAGAGCTCACCAACACAAATGTGAGTGATCTTTATTATCTAAATAGTAGTTAGTGACTTGCATTGACGACATTGTATGTTGATGATGTTCAGGAGGTGGATCACACGACACATGATTTCAAGAAGAATAATGGAGTCATCTTCCGATTTGACCCCTAAGAATAAGATGACACATCGTCGTCCTTCCTAGCTCAATCCTATTGAGTGTGCTTCTGTTTTCCTTGTATGTATGTAACTACTACTGCCAATACTGCTGTGTACACTGTACACAAATTGGTTATATGCAATAAAATACCGGTTTAAGTTAACCAAACTCTGTTTCCAGTACTCCTTTTCTCGGAAATCCACCTGGTTTAAATAATTCTTGATTTGGTTTTCAGAAAAAGGAAAGCAAATCTTGAATATATTAAAGAAATTTGGTGACATCATTCGGTGCTTCTAGTAATATGCTCTGTTTTGACAGTTATAAAGTATATTTAATTTATTAATTAAAATAAATATAATACGTGTAATCGTAGCCGTTGGATATGATTACACGTGCAGCAGCCATCTTTCGATCGCACAAAAAGCAAAACGAAAGGCTAAAAGAAGCTAGCTGGAGAGTCGAGATCGATCCGAATTAAAAATCTGATTCTCTGGGTACAAAGTTTTCTCTTCTCTATTATCCAAATTCGTTGTCTTATTTGATTTTAGCATCCTACTCTGTGAGTGAGTGTTCGTCTAATTCTGACTGGTTCATGTTTCCAGTCTCTATGTGTGTTTCATTATATTTATATAGTTTTTTTGAGTCATTTGTTGGATTCAATGACAGGTTTTTATAAGCTATAGAGTAGAATCTGTACGATAGCAATCATGGAGCGGTTAACATCTCCTCCTCGTCTGATGATTGTCTCGGATCTTGATCATACTATGGTAAAGTCTCCATTTTTACGTCTTTTAACAGCTTTTTCTTGTGGAAAAGTTTGTTTTGATTGATTGATGTGTTTTTGTGTAGGTTGATCATCATGATCCTGAGAATCTATCTCTGTTGAGATTCAATTCGTTGTGGGAAAACGCTTATCGCCATGACTCTCTTCTTGTGTTCTCTACGGGAAGATCACCAACATTGTATAAAGAACTGAGAAAGGAGAAACCTTTGCTTACCCCTGATATTACCATTATGTCTGTAGGAACTGAGATTACTTATGGTACCTCTATGGTTCCTGATCATGGTTGGGTTGAGACTTTGAATAATAAATGGGATTTGGGTGTTGTCAAAGAAGAAGCTAGCAAGTTTCCTGAGTTAAAGCTTCAGGTACTCACTGGCTCAAAAACTAAGTGTTTATGTCTCACACAATCTTGCAATGGTTTTATGAAAAGAGTGTGATTGCTACTTGTAGGCAGAAACTGAGCAGAGGCCGCATAAGGTTAGCTTTTATGTTGACAAGAGTAAGGCCCAGGAAGTGACTAAGGAGCTATCACAGCGGTTCCTGAAACGTGGGGTAAGTTTGCTTCGATAATGGTTACCGTTTCATTTGAGATATTGTGACTTAAGAAAATGGTTTATGCTGGTTGTATCAGTTGGATGTCAAGATAATTTACAGTGGAGGCATGGATTTGGATATTTTACCACAAGGTGCCGGAAAGGGACAAGCGCTTGCATATCTGCTGAAGAAGCTGAAGACTGAAGGAAAACTCCCTGTCAATACTCTTGCTTGTGGCGACTCTGGGAACGATGCTGAACTGTTTAGCATTCCGGATGTTTATGGTGTCATGGTTGGTTGCTCTTTAATCATGCTTCACCATGTCTCTGAATTACATTTCATCGCGATATTGATATCTGTTAGTTCGTTCCCAGGTAAGCAATGCTCAGGAAGAGCTGTTGAAGTGGCATGCTGAGAATGCAAAAGACAACCCAAAGGTAATCCATGCAAAGGAGAGGTGTGCGGGTGGGATTATACAAGCCATTGGTCACTTCAAGCTTGGTCCAAACCTTTCTCCAAGAGATGTCTCTGACTTTTTAGAGTGCAAGGTGGAGAATGTGAACCCCGGTCACGAGGTTGTGAAGTTTTTCTTGTTCTACGAGAGATGGAGACGGGGCGAGGTTGAGAACTCTGAGGCATACACAGCAAGCCTCAAAGCTTCATCTGTGAGTATGTAACAGAATTTAGATTATGTATTGCAATGGGATAATATAACTGACTCTTGTGTCAACCTATTTCAGCACCCCAGTGGTGTGTTTATCCATCCATCTGGTACTGAAAAATCTCTGAGAGATACCATTGATGAGCTGCGCAAGTACCATGGAGACAAACAAGGGAAGAAGTTTCAGGTTTGGGCAGATCAAGTCCTGGCAACAGACACTACTCCTGGGACATGGATAGTAAAGCTTGATAAATGGGAGCAAGATGGTAAAGCCTTATTGCCTAAAACTGCATCATCTATATAAAACTCAAATCCCATCAGAATGTGACACTTCTTTCTCTTGCAGGTGAAGAACGCAGAGGCTGCACAACGACTGTCAAATTCACCGCAAAGGTATGAGATTGTGTTATAATAGTTAGCTTCTGGAGTTCCGTTGATGGTCGGTATTGCGGAATGTGCAGGAAGGGGAAGGATTGGTGTGGGAACATGTACAACAAACCTGGTCGGAAGAATCAAAGGTGAAGGATGATAGCAGCTGGATCATCTGAGTCTACAGATTGAGACTTCTTCTTCTCTTTCTCATCTTATGATCTCTGCCATAAATTATTGGAACTTCGGTATAAACACACGAGATCCAATTAAACATTACCTTGATAAAACTTGGATCTCAAAACTCATTCTACAATCTATTATCTATATATCTCCAAGTTAACTTGGTTTTCTTTAACTACCCCTTTATATTATATATGATATTGTCCATTTGGCATTTTTTTTTATAATTGATTAAGTCAATTCATTAGTATTAGTTTACATGGATGTCAAGTAGAAAATCATATATTTAAAGGTCTAAAGTCTATTAAATTATCATCAATTGTTTTATACAACGAGAGTTATACTACTCCACTTGGACTTAGGAAAAGGTTATTCCAAATTGGATTACGAATCAGTGTAATCCCCTTATAAAAGAGGTTTGAGATCGGACGAACAAATATCACAAACCCTAATTATAGAAGAAACCTCGAAGTAAGTAGTAGATAGATAACCACAAATCGTTTTAGTTCGTTGATAATTTGATATGTTACGAATCCATTAATATATATTGATATAGTTTTCATATTTACACTAGTCCAAATAGTTAAAGTTCGTAATTTGATACTATTAAAAATTGTTACTAAGAAAAATTACAAATTCCTACAAAAAGTCCACCTTACATTTATTTCAGAACCTTCCACTTCCACGCCTTTATTTATTTTCTTTTGTTCTTTTTCAAGTTTCAACTCTCTCTGTAACTGTTTCATAAGTTGGAAAAAGAAGAGAGTTATTAATTTCATCACAATGCTTCCCTTCCTCGAAACTCATATCATGTCACAATATCTCCTAATCTCTCATCCAAATTAACAGCAACCAAATCTCAAGAAGATGGAGAGCTCAATTGGGTTCATGACAGTCTTCGCCGTCTCTGGAAGTGTGGTGCTTCTTGCGGCTCAGCTTCACAAGCGTCTCCTCTCTGATTATATGGACAAGCTCGAGCCTCAACATTCTAATAAGGAAAGAAAGAAGACGAAGAAGAAGAAGGTGAGCTTTGCAGAAGATATGGTGGAGCCGTCAGGGAACAACGAAGAGTATCGCCGGAGTTTCCGCAAATCGAAGTTGGAGGATGAAAGAAGAAGCCCTCAAAAGAGTCAACTTATTCAACACAAAATTTTCATATAAATATTTTTCTATGTAATTGTTTTCCTTATTTGGTAAATATTAGTTTCACAAAATTAGGAGCTAGACCGGACCACATATCCCATTCCATGTCTTTTTTTATTATGTCAAGTTGTGTCATTGGACGTAGTACATGTGTCGTTAATGTTCTGATTCGTATCGAGTAGCGTTATTAATTTGTACCAGCCAAAAATTAATTAGAACGAGCCAAAAATCAATGTGTATTAGTAACAGTTTTGTTTTTCACAAAACATTTGGGCTTTTGGTATAAGCCCAAGAAGAGTTTTGACTTTTACAAGCAATCATACACACTGCTCACCGTGCCATGTAAATCTTTTTTTGTCAGTTGTCTTATGATTCTTAAATTTTTAATCGAATTTGGGTCAAACCTCTAAACTCTTAGAAGATGGTTCAACCTTCAAACTGACATTTAACAATTTCAACGATTTTCGGGTAGGTATAACTATAAGCCAAACATTTTTGGGCTTTCTCATATTTTGGGAGAAAATATTGATTAACATTCTTAGTTACATTATGGATAATGGCTTACGACGATATTAATACAAATCCTGGTCGATTAACATTCTATTAGTCGATCAATCATCACGGCTACAAATAGTGCCGCGGCTGTCACCTAACATTAGCCCTGAAACCATAAATGGATTTCTAGTTAGGTAGCGAGTTATTAACTATTGAAAACAATTTAAATTGCGAACTACAACATATCAATATAAACACGTGGATATTCACATTATATATTGTCCTATCAATCTTTAATTTTGTAAGCATGAATCAATGGTAAATTAATTGCATGGATTCTTTAATTAATAATAATGTCATATAACAAGATCTTCATAATATCTCGAATGGCCATGCATCTCGCATCTACCCGAAAAGTTTATGTACAATGCATGGCCATCAAGAAAACGAAAAAAAAAATTGAATACCAAAGTCTTTTTTTGTTATTGTGAATTGAATAATGTTTTTCTTCTCAATATAATGTTGGTGGGACTGACTGGGAACGGAGCTTCGAATCAAAGAAGAAAGCCAACTACCAAAGACAGTGTCGGTTCGACGGCGATGGCAAATCTAACGGCAGGAGAAACGTCGCCGTTCCATATCATTTATTAACGACGAAAAAGGAGATTTATTTTTAGTATATATCATCAATCATACGTTACGACTTTTCACCCGCTTTTCCACCATACGTACCATTAGGGCATCCGCAGTGGTGTATCCTTGCGTGGGGTGTATCTATTTTAAAATACAGAAATAATGTAAAAGTTGTCTCTTTCTTTACACCCAGGTGTAAGTTTACACTCGGGTGTAAGCCACTCTATCTCTCTTTCTTTCTTTCTCTCTCTTTTTTCTCTCTCACTTTAAATTATAATAATAATAAAAATCTTACACCTCTCTTTCACACTTACACCACTGCGGATGGTCTTAGCAAATCCTCTTACTCATATTATGACTTTTGCGTTAAAAAGTAAAAACTATGATCTTCACATTTCCATGAGCCCCTCCTATTTAACATCTGTCTCACAAAACTTGTAACCAGATTCATTTATTGATCAAGTTAGATTAATCTCAAAATTTTTAATTAGATTTATGTTGTATGTATTGGTCTTAACTCTATAAAAGTCTTATAAACAAAGATTTTTTAAAAATGACAATGTTAGATAAAAAGTTTTAATCGATACATTTTGATGAAAGACATCTTACCTTCCTTCACTGTTTTGTTTTTAACAATGATTACAAGATGTAGAGAAAATGTGTTTATTGCTATATGAGACTCATGGTTTCTAGAAACTAAAAGTTATTAGGAACAGGATTAACTATGGGAACTTTCACTTCGTAAACACTTTCATCAATGCTAATTCATTCCACTATGTATATCACCGAAGATAAACTTAGTTTTTTCTTTTCTAATCTATCCAGAGAAAACTTTAAATGTTTTTGAACTGAAACAATTTAAGAATGAATGACTTTAAGCTAGATAAATGATGTTTAGTATCTTGAAAATATAGACAAAAACAAAAAGTTACTCTTTGACTAATAAAAAATATTATTATCTCCGTTTCACAAAAAGGATCGTTTTAAGGTTTTAATCTCGTTTCACAAAGAGTGTCGTTTTGTGTTTTCAATGTAGTTTTAAAGACTAATTCTTTTTTCTAACCTCACTATTTTAGTTTATTAATTAGAGAGGGTATTATTTAGTGTATTAATAAAAGATATAAATAAAATTTGTTTACTTTTCTTAATTTATGTGAAAAATGTTAGAATGACAATCTTTGTGAAACAGAATGAATAGTAAGGAATGACAAAGAGGAAACACGTGAATAAAAAGTAAAAAACTCACAGATGACGACATGAGAATTATAAACCAATCGATAAATCTTTCAAAATTTACTAAATAGTTGACTTTTGGTTTTGAAATAATGAAGCGACCGTCATGTAAATGATTGGATCCACGTACGGTGGTGTACGAGCCTTTAAAAAAGAATTTGGTTTATCAATTTTGCAAACAAATCACCTAACGTTTTTGTGTTTGAGTGGTTGTAAAATAAATAAGGGCAATAAATAAAGTCTCAAGAACTTAATACAAATACAAATCGCCACGAAGAATGGAAATTTTTTGTATCAATGCTTAATTAGTACCATAGCATTTTAAAATTCGAAATGCAAATCAAACTTAAACACGACAACAGATGTTGTATAATAGCTAATCATAGTAAATCTGTAAATAGCACACATCGGTTGTTTGCAGCTAATTATTGTATTTACAATTGTTTGCGTCGTACGTTTTGATTTGCAGCCAAACAATCTGATTTGTTCTCTTTTTAGAATACAAAGATGGAAAGTGTTTACTTCAAGTGAACTTCAGATATGGACCGAGTCAGAACACGACACGAGGCTCGAAGACAGAGACATAGTGCTGAGTTGTTCAACATAAGCAAGTAAAAATCTTTGGCTGAGAGAGAGGCTCTGAGTTAGGCATAAGCCAAACAATCTGACACGCACATACCTTTGCTTCTCGTGTAGACCCAACTTTTTACCATTACCAAAAACATAAAATAGAAAATGCAAAACAAATAAAAACACACCCACCCAAATAAAATTTTTAATGAAAGAAAGAAGAAACTTCACATCAGCATCAGAATCTCTCTCTCCCTCTCTCTCTCCTTCTTCACAAGCAAAAAAAAAACACCAAACCCATTTTTCTTTCTTCATTTTGCCGACACTTCTATATTCTCTCTCTCTATCTCTCTGCACCGCCATGGATTCCTCCTATGGCGTAACAAAGCTCCTTCTCCTCCTCTTCCTCACCACCTCCATTGCCACCGCATTACCCGATAGCAAACCCGTACCGGGTCAAATAAACTCAAACTCAGTCCTCGTAGCTCTCCTCGACTCTCACTACACAGAGCTAGCTGAACTAGTCGAGAAAGCCCTCCTTCTCCAAACCCTCGAAGAAGCAGTTGGTAAACACAACATCACAATCTTCGCACCACGCAACGATGCCTTGGAACGAAACTTAGACCCACTCTTCAAATCTTTCTTGCTTGAACCAAGAAATCTCAAATCTCTACAATCTTTATTAATGTTCCACATTCTCCCTAAACGAATCTCTTCTCCTCAATGGCCTTCTCTTTCTCACCACCACCGTACTCTCTCCAACGACCATCTCCACCTCACCGTCGACGTCAACACTCTAAAAGTAGATTCCGCGGAGATTATCCGACCCGATGACGTCATTAGACCCGATGGTATCATCCACGGCATCGAACGTCTTCTCATCCCTCGCTCTGTTCAAGAAGATTTCAACCGCCGTCGTAGTCTCCGTTCAATCTCCGCCGTTATACCAGAAGGAGCTCCTGAAGTTGACCCAAGAACTCACCGTCTCAAGAAACCAGCTCCCGCCGTCCCTGCCGGAGCTCCACCGGTTCTTCCAATCTACGACGCTATGTCACCAGGTCCTTCCCTAGCTCCGGCTCCAGCTCCCGGACCCGGTGGTCCACGTGGCCATTTCAACGGCGAGGCTCAAGTCAAAGATTTCATCCACACTCTCTTGCATTACGGTGGCTACAACGAGATGGCTGATATACTCGTCAATTTAACCTCTTTAGCCACCGAGATGGGTCGTCTCGTTTCTGAAGGCTACGTTTTAACCGTTCTTGCTCCTAACGACGAAGCCATGGCTAAGCTGACAACGGACCAGCTCAGCGAGCCAGGTGCTCCTGAACAGATTATGTATTACCACATCATACCGGAGTATCAAACAGAGGAGAGTATGTACAACGCTGTTAGAAGATTTGGGAAAGTGAAGTACGATTCATTGAGATTCCCACACAAAGTCTTAGCTCAAGAAGCTGATGGATCTGTCAAATTCGGACACGGTGATGGCTCAGCTTACTTGTTTGATCCCGATATTTACACCGACGGTCGGATTTCAGTTCAGGGTATTGACGGAGTCTTGTTCCCGGCGGAGGAAACTCCAGCGACAGAGATTAAACCCGCGGCTCCGGTCGTTAAGAAAGTTGCTAAATCAAGAAGAGGTAAAAATAAATTTTTATTCTTTATTCTTTTGTTAAAATTATTATTATATTCTAATTTTTCGGTCAATAAATATTTGATATTGACATCTAAACACAAAATTCATCATTTTTGTGTCATTGAGTGTCAAAAGTTCTCTTATTCTAAACACTACTACGCAGCCATCAATTTGGTCGTTTAATGATAGTAGAAGTAAGTAAACATGTGCGATTTGGAATAAAGTAGAGACTTGCAAGAGAATGGAGACAAAACTCTCTTAACAAATTTTGTTTTTAATTCCGCTTACTTTTATTCTTTTTAATTCTATAACCCACCGACGAATAATCCCATATAATCATTAAATTAAGGAAAAATGTTTTATTTTTATTTGTTCTTTATAAAAGACAAGCTGTGATTGAGACACATTGGTCGTTAACGACAGCTTGTCTAAATTTTCACTAAAACCCAAACCAAAACCTTTTTTTTTTTTGGTGGTCTTTCTGTATTTTTTTGCGTTTGTTTCTAAGCATATATTCATTTGCACTTAATCATTGATTAAAGTTACTGATCAAATTATAATATATGCAGGTAAATTGATGGAGGTAGCTTGTAGAATGATGGGTTCACGGTTTATTCCGTGTCA